ATCCATCCCGACGAAGCCTTCAGATCACTGAAGCCTTGCAAGACACTCAGAGCCAGAAGACTCAGTTAAGGGGCATCAGAATTTCTGACCCACAGAAATGGAGATAATAAATGTTGATTTAAGTTACTAAATTTGGGGATAACTTGTTATGCAGCAAAAGATAACTAACACATCCCATTTTGTAGATGAAGAAACTGACGCTTGGGGAACATGGATCAAATTTCCCAAAGTCACACAGCTCATAAAAATGGCAGAGCCAGGATTTGAACACATTCAGGTTCAAGAGTCTTAGCTCCGGGGTGCCTGGGTGGCTCAGTGGGTTAAGCTTCTGCCTTAGGCTCAGGTCATGATCTTAGGGTCCTGGGATGGAGCCCCACATCAGGCTCTCTGCTCGGTGGGGAACCTGCTTCCCCCTCTCTCTGCCTGCCTCTCTGCCTACTTATGATCTCTATCTGTCAAATAAATAAAATCTTTTTTTAAAAAAAGAGTCTTAGCTCAAATCTACTTTCTTACGTAATTCTAAGAGATTGGAAAAGTGGAGTTCTAGAAGGCATTCTACTCTCTGAAATCTTTGGAGTGTAGCCATGTTTCCAGGAAACTCTTTGTGTGTAGAACAGGGATGGACAAAAGTTTAAATGGTGCTCAAAAGCCCACTCCCTGCTGCGGAAGAATGGCTGGTCCACCCACAGATCTAGTGATAGTAACCGGGGGCTCCATTCAACAGCATAAAGGCAGAGCTAAGAGAGGTGGCCCATCCATTTTATAAGCACTCAAGCTATCTTATCTCTAAAATGCAAGGTGGGTAAAGGGTATACAAATTTTTCTTGAGGATGAAAATGCACGCATTACATAATGAAGAGGTCTGGTGTGCTATTTAAAAATCATATGGGGGCGCCTGGGTGGCTCAGTCAGTTAAACATCCAACTCTTGGTTTCAGCTCAGGTCCTGATCTCAGGGTTGCGAGACTGAGTCATGTGTCGGGCTCCGTGCTCACTGTGGAGTCTCCTCCAGATTCTTTCCCTCTCCTCCCCTTCTGCCCCTACTCCACCTCTCTCTCTCACAAACAAATAAAAATCTTGAAAAAAAAATCTTATGAGCTCTAGCATTGGAAAGCAAATGGTTTTGTCTGAGAGAACACCAATTTTCACTTTTTTTTTTTTTAATCTTTCCCATCTATGGAAGAAGCCTTGAACTTTGAAACCACAGTGCTTTGTTCCAGCATGGATAGTAGCTTGGCATTTCTCTGTGTTGGTATCTTTCCAGTTTGAGAGGGTGAAAACATCTTCTGGACAGTTTCCCTTTCTTTTCAGTTTCCAGAGCTTCATGCCAGTGGTCACCTTTATAAAATCAAATGAAGATATTCTTGTTGGTTGGCTGCATAGATCTTGTCAGCTTTGCCCTGATGCCAGAGCAGCAGGCTTTGGAGCTCAGGGAGGACTTCCAGGTGGCAGTAGAGCAAAGATCCCATAGGGTAAAGTTCAGACATGGTTCTTTGAGCCAGCGACAGAGGCTGCACTCCATTGGTGTAATTGTGTAACCTGGTATAAAGTCCATAGCAGGGTGGTGGGGGGTAGGACTCTAAGCCAGCTCCGCAGTCTGTGGCCTGTTGGCTCTGTCTAGCTTTCCTTACTCTCTTCTCTGCTGGCTTTCCCCTAACCCCCACTCCAACCCCCCTTCTCTAATCCCTTCATCCCTGTCAGTCTTCATCTTCAGGGATCCCTAATTCAGGGAACTATCTCTTATCAAATACTTTGGCTTGCTTCCAACTACTAGAAGCAGGCAACTCCTGCACTTGTCTGCTATCTGAATGCTTTTCTTCTCTACCAGATGTTTATTTCTCTAATCCATTTGGAATTGTGTGTAGAATCCAAGGAAGGGGTGGGAGAAACCCAAAACCCCCCAGAAAAGAGCTTTTCCCTTGTGAGATTGCCCCTTGGACTAAAAGAGCAATGAAAGGAAACCAGGATTCTGCCCCCTTGGAAAAGTGACGTGAGGAAAAGAGGGCAGAAAGTAATGTCAGCATGCACTGGAGCCCAGGGCAAATCGTGCCACTCCTTAGACATCAGGACATCACTCCAAGTCCTTCATTGTCTACTTAATCAGGATTTATAAAGTCTGTTTTTGCCTTTAATATACCTGCTATCCTGGTCTTGCTCAAGTGGCTCTGAGCAGATATCATCGGCACCACCTCCACTGTGAGCCTCACAACACAAAGAAGCAGACGCCTGAACTCCAGTGCTCTTGCTTTCTAAAGTGGGGTCTTAAGAGTAGTGAAGACATAGCACCAGAAAGAAAAGAGAGTCTGGCTGGCTGAATTACTTTAGAAGGTCTTTTTGCGCGTGTAAAATCAAAATTTTATTTATTTTATTTTATTTTTTAAAGCTTTTATTTATTTTTTGACAGAGAGCGAGCACAAGCAGGGGGAGCACTAGGCAGAGGGAGACGGAGAAATAGGCTCTCCGCTGAGCAGAGAGCCCTGATGTGGAGCTCAATCTCAGGACCCTGGGATCATGACCTGAGCTAAAGGCAGATGCATAACCAACTAAGCCACCCAGGCGCCTCCTGCACAGACTTTAATAACACAATAAATAGCTTTTTTGGTGGATCAAAGAATGTTCCTTAAAACCTCCCTTCTTGAAGATTTTTTTTTTTCTCTTCTTACTGGGTTGAAGATGTTTGTTTTACATTTCTTATCTGATTTTCACAGGGAATGGTAGCAGTAGAAGTGTATATATGTATGTATGAGTGAAAACATTTATGAATGCTTTTTTTTTTTTCAGTGTATGGGCTAGAATGAATAGCTGACCTTTGTGGCAGTATTCCTAGTTTTGTGATAGTAATTTTGTTGAGTTCCTGAACTTGATGGCAAGTCCTCTTAGTGAGACTGGCATAATTCTATGTTCTCTATGGCACCAAGTCACCGTGATTGTACAAGAGCCATTATTACCCAAAGTACCATAATAATGCCCATGCCCTCCTATGATGTAATTGTTTCCTATCTGCCAGGACATTAATTGCCTTCTAACTTGCTCTAAAATTGGTAGGTAGGGCATACTGCCAAGACTAGAGAGAAGAAAACTGGTAATATATGAAAAGGCTGTGTAAAGGACATATGAATATGACATATGAATACTTCCTTCTCATTGGGGAATCTTCACATTTGCATGTTACTTCATTTGTTATGGATGTTAGCTCAGGCTTGCCTTATGTCTTGGCTTCCACCTTATCATGGTCAATGTCTGATCTTTCCCTTAACTGAATGATTCAGACATCTCTGAAGTTATTTTGTCTTTTCCACTTTCCTTTTACAGGCTTTTTATGAGTCACTGAATTGAAGGGGAGGTTATTTCTAAATTGGAAGGTGAGGATGAAGGAAGGGGGAGGAAAGTTCCGGAAAATAACCAGGAAAAGACACCTTATTGTTATAGTTACTGGGGAATAATTCCCGCTTAGTTTGGTGATAGGTGGTTTATTCAAATTTGACTAAAAATATAAGCTAGAAAATAGACAATTTTTTCCCCCTGGATAGCAGTGCAGCTTTAGACTATTTGTAGCTTGCTCTGCAAAGGACAGAAGAGTGAATAGAAGAGATGTGGGACAAAGAGTTAGCAGGAAGAACAAAGGGGCAAAGCACAAAATTTCTAAAGTCCAGATTCTCAGTTGCATAGGAAGTTCCCAACCATAAGGTAATGCTTGTGACGAGGTACCTCTTTAACTGTCCCAATCCGTCCCCGGGTATGTTTCATGGTCCATGGGTTTGTGCATTATAAGTAGAGTTGTAAGGAAGGTACATTTAAATCTGACTTAGACATTTAAAGAGTAATCAGGCCAGCATTTTATTATTTAGGAGCAGGAAAAGTGGGTGGAAATGAAAAAGAAAAGCAAAATCTAATGATGGATATATTTCTAGGAGCACAAGAGTTTTTATAGCAACACCAGATTTCTCAAAAATGCATACTGTGACTTGTACCCAAATGAATAAAAAATGCAATCATTTATTCTTGTGCATTGTGCCAATGTAAGAAAAGGGCTGCAATTCATTCAATGGTTCTAATTTAGACTGTTAGGAAGAGGAGAGGTTGGGGGAAAAAAAAGACAAGCTTTTCAAGTATCTGACACACATCTAGTATGGCTATTTAAGAACTGCTGAACATAAAAATCAAGTTGGGAGAAGGTGGGAGGAACTGAATTCTCATTTCCAGAGCATCACAAGGGTAGATGTGGTCCGTTTAGTCCCAACTTGCTGATGGTGGCTGCTTGGTCCCTTGACAGGAGCCAGCTAGGGGTGAGTCTGGAACCTAGAGAACGCTCAACATGCCACTCCAGTTTATTAACGACGTTTTGCTGGCAACAGAAGCGACTGATTTCTGCTAAATAAACGGTTGTGCTTTGCCCTTTAGCATGGAGACTTCTGGAAAGAACTTCAAGGAAACTGAGTGCATTTGGGACTTTCAAGAAGAAGAAATTTTTATGCGTGTAAGTGCTTTCCTCCCAAGGAGTTGGAAAACACGCCTTAAACACAATCTCTGATGTTGGTATTTTGTTAAGTACTACCCTATAAACTAGCAGTGATAAACTTCTCTTTGAAGGAAGGAAATTGGCGAAAGGGATGGGTATACAGCGTGAATTCTACAACAAAGAGTTAACCCCTCCCGGGTAACCTCCTCGGCTGTGAGCGTCTGCCCCTTCCTTGCTTTCTACTGCGCAACCAAACTGTGCCCAAGCTTGAACCAACCATGACCATCACATCCCTTGCCAGTTGACTTAACAGACGCTTTTGGCAGCCTATCATAACTTCGAACTGCCCAACCATCAACCAATGACAACTAAAGCTTGGTCCTGGGCTCTCCAGGTCCGAACGAGGGCTAATACCGGGTCCCGGAAAAGGGGCGGTGAGGAAGCTATGACGGACGGCTACTCTCAGCCAATCAGGACAGAAAGCCGCCTCCCCACTATCCAATGGAGAGGTAGAAAGTATGAAATGGGGTGGGCCTGTTGTCATGGGGGAGGTGGTGGCGCTTGGTGGCTACTGGCGGCCGAGGTAGAGGCAGTGGAGCTGGAGTTGGTTGGGGGCAGCGTCAGGTGAGTGCCGGTATCGCGGGCTTGGGGTCTGGGGGCCGTCGCGGGGCGGAAACTCCACCTCGGGTGCTCCGGAGGCGGAGGCCAGAAGAAGGGGCCTTGGACTGTGAGCCGGGTCGGGCCGGGGCCAGGGCGGCGGCGGCGACGGCGGCGGCGGCGGCTGCGGCGAGTTCGCGCTGACTGGGCTGGTGGGAGAATGGCCCGGTTCCCGGCGGCGGAGTTCGGGTTGGCAAGATAGGCTGGGGCCGGACCCTAGTGTTTCTGGTCTGGAGATCTCTTGGGACGTCCCGCTGCTTGGGTCTGGGGCACTGAGCGGCCGCCGGTGTGTGAGGGGTAAAAACCCTCGGGAGACGGGAGCGGACGGGGTCCCGGGGTGGGGGGGTGACCCGGGGTGACTGGCAACGACCTGGTCCGAGGACCGGGTGACTTGGGAATACGTACCCAGCACAGCTTGGGTGCGAGGGAGCAGAGGAACCCGGGAATCCCAGGAGCGGCCCGAGCGAGGAGAGCTGGGGGGCCAGGAAACTGGGAGTGGCCGGGGTCCGAGGGAGCCGGGAGACCGAGGGCGGTCAGGGTTCGGAGTGACAGTGAGCGGCCTGGGTCCGAGCGAGGGGGTCGAGGAAAGGCGGGTTGGGGGGGGTTGCTGGGGACCCTCTTGAGGAGGGCAACTGTCGGAGGGTGGAGGGCTCCCGGGGGAGTCAGGAGCCGCGGGTTTTAGGAGGGTGGGACCTGTGCAGACCTTGAACAGCTGGGGTTGAACCGGAGCGCCCTGCCCCCACTGCTGGTCTGGGATGGGATACCCAAGACTGGACTGGGAGCTCCTGGTCTGACGATCCGCGGGGGATCAGGGATCCTCGAGGAGTAGCTCGGATTCTATACTAGGGTGAGAGGTCTACTGGGGAGTGGAAGTTGTCTCAGTTGGAGAGAAGTCAGGCAAAATGACACAGGGGTGGGCGGGGAGAAATAATTTCCTTGTAGGAAGCGCGTAGTAGATAGGGCGTAGTTGGAGGGAGCGAGAAAGTTGGTCAGGAAGAGAGTGGTGGTCTTGTGGAAACTGGCCAGAATAGTAGGTAGGAGTGTGGCCATTAGTAGATTTTAAGGACTAAAGAAATAGAAGAAACTTTGGCTTCGTATACTAAGGTGTAAGAGAAAAAGCTCCTAAAAGGGTTAAGTGGCTTGCGTTCCAGTGCTTTAGGGGGGGAAAAAAAAGTGTTTTAGAATGACACCAGTGATTAGAAAATGAGGACGTTGACAGAATGGTGAATTTGAAAGGGAAAAGGAGAGGAGTAGCTAAAACTAAGGGAGTAAAACGGGGGACTTGATCAGAAAGAGGGGAGTCATGAAAGGATGGACACACCCTGGCCAAACTACAAATAAATTTGAATTCAAGTTCCACCACTTAGCTTGGACAGTTTAACCTCTCTGTGCAAGTTTCCTCGTCTGTATAATAGGGATTAATAATAGTCTCTATTACATAGGGTTGTTTTTTCACATGAGTTAATATTTGTAGAACTTTGAGAATAGTGGCTGCCATGGAGTGAGCCCTGGGTACTTACTGACTGGATTGTTAAATAGAGGAAAAAGACCAGGGATTTTTTATGCTGTGGTTCTCAAACTTTAGTTTGCACCAGAAACATTTTGGGCTTGCTAAAATACAGACTGCTGGCCCCCTCCAGAGTTTCTAATTCAGTAAGTTTGGAGTGGGTCCTGTGAATTTGCATTTATATCAGGTGATGCTTATGTTGGTCAGAGGATCACACTTTAAAAACCAGTTGCTTCCATGAAAACAATAATAATGTAGCAACCTTAAAATATCTGTGTCTCCTGCTAGAGACAAGTAGAGGCAGATTGCCAAAATGATCCCAATATAAGGGATACCCTCTGAGAAGCCTGTGTTTTTCAAACTGTAGATCATGATTTATTAGTAATTTATAAAATCAAGTTAGTGGGTTACCGTGGCTTGAAAATAAAGTGAAATAGAACAGAATTGCAGTTTCCTTGGTAAGGAAAAGTATTATTTGGGACATTTTTCTCATATGTGTGTGTTCTAGGTCACGATGTAAAATGTATTTCTTACAGGCAAAAGAGTTTAAAAAACTGTTTTGAGCCATGCAATGCAGCAAAAGTGACCCTTCAGGAGGGGGTTTTTAGGACTGGGTTTATTATTTATGTCTTTATTTTTCTTTTTTTGGTAATTTGTCTCCGGTGGAGACATTCTATTACATTTCTTCTTCTGATTCGGTTTCTCTTATGTTTGCTTTATCACATACTGTGTTGTGCCTCTTTTTAGATACTGAGAATCTTTGGTATGAGGACTTAAGGAAATGTGAGGCAGAGAAATGAAATCGAGTGGTGTTTCTTAGATGTGGTACACCTTTGTTTCACTTATGCCTTCTTGTTTATCCTTTCTTTTTATACCACTGTACTAAAGCACTGTTTGTAAAAAACCCAAGTATACATAGACATGTTGGCAGTAAACAACTAATGCTGAAATGGACTGGTTTGAGAAGAGTTCATGTATAGAAAATAAGCAAAAAATAAGACCTATTTCAAAGGAGAAAAGCAAAGGAGTGTTTCCTTTTTAAAAGAGTGAAAGTTATTTAAAGCTTCTCGTGGCCTTACATTAATACAAAACATATAATATAAAGGAATTTTTAAGGGAAACAGATATACTTTGGTATTTTAGATTTCTAGGTTTCAGAAGAGCGAAGAAAGTGGTAATAATCCACAGTAAAATGCACCTGGGATAGAGGCCTAACTACAAAGTAAATTGTTTATTAAGCAGGAGCTTTTGTTTTGATGTTTTTCTCCCTTGAGAATGAACTGTATGTGGCATGTGTTGTACATTTAACTTGTTTGAGGGATTTAAGTGTAATCTACAGTAACTTTTTAAAGCTGTATTAAGAATATATATGTATTTTCTATGCTCTCTTTGGTTTGATTTTTCTTCTATAAAAACCTAGATGGTTTATATTTAGGAAGAGTTGATTTATGTTAGTTTTTGTGGATATAAGAACTGAGAAAGCAGTATAGAAAACAGAGATTCTTGCAGTTCTTAAAATTTTTAATCCAAGGGATTTATGTAACCCTTTCATTAATGTTTTATGAAATTGTAAAGAAACTCTTGGTGTAGCTTTGCATTAGGATTTTTTAAAAAAATTTATTTGAGAGAGAGGAGAGAGGGAGGGAGAGAGAGTACACGAGCGAAGGTGGGGGGGGGACGGAAAAGCAGACCCTTGCTGAACAAGGAGCCTGAATCGGGGCTGGATCCCCAGGACCCTGGGATCATAACCTGAGCCGAAGGCAGATGCTTAACTTTCTGAGCCACCCACATTAGGATTTTTTAACATAATTTGTCTCTCAAAAATAATTTCTCTCAGATTTTTATGTTTCATTAAAATTTCAATTTTTGTTTCGAAGACTACAAAACATAAAATCATTACATATTTGAATTGAAAAACATAAGCAGTCTTTTCACAGAATAAAATTACTGATTCTTATGACAAAGTTTCCAAGGATGAAAGCTTTTGAATTCCTTGCATTGCATTACATGGAGTATTCCTACCACCAAAATGGTCGTTCTGTAAGTCCCTGTGCAGTTGGTGGGCACATTTGTAGAGATCATTCAGTTTTTTACTGACTGATGGAGGAATGTAAAATCTTCATAATTGAGTGTGGGAAAATATGAAAGTTCATTCTTTGTGAACATTTGACCAGTTTTATTACTTGCTTCTTAGTAAATGGACTTTATTCAGTCGACTTATTATTCGCCCATAATTTAATCACACTTATCTATGAATAGCTCTGATTGCTCAACTTACTTTACAGTGAGATTTGTTAATCTGTAGTTGAATGAATGGTGGTTTTTAAATCCCAAAGAAACTTTATGTTCCAGACTGTACAATTTAGTGAGACTTAATTTCATGTATCAAAGAAAATTCAAGTAAATGATTTTAAAAAGTAGAAGTTCAATTAACACTAGTTAATTAAATTTATTTTCTATTTCAGTAGCGTTTTCTCCTCTTTTATTAGTAGCTTCTGATCTACTCTCTCTGCTTCTAGCCTTTATACAGTAAATCCTAATGGAAACTTTGGTGCCTGAAAAATCTAGTTCATAAAAGTAGAGAAACAGGGGCGCCTGGGTGGCTCAGTAGGTTAAAGCCTCTGCCTTCGGCTCAGGTCATGATCCCAGAGTCCTGGGATCGAGCCCCACGTCGGGCTCTCCGCTCAGCGGGGAGACTGCTTCCTCCTCTCTCTCTGCCTGCCTCTCTGCCTACTTGTGATCTCTGTCTGTCAAATAAATAAATAAAATCTTAAAAAAAAAAAAAAAAGTAGAGAAACATGTCCGGTTTTCAGTTTGCTGAGAGAACTACTTTTATCAGGAAAAGTCCCTTGGTAAACGTATCACCTTAAAAAAAAGTTGTTTATTTAATAGAGTACTTGAAAACCAGCATTTTATTTTGGGCTTGCCACAACATCTATTGTGTTTGATAGATTTTGATTTCCACAGAACGGCTCTTGAATTCTCCCAGTTTCTGAACTCTGATACATGGTTCCTTGATAGGGCTAAAGAGAGTGGAAACAGTTGTACTCCTTAAATATTCAAAAAGAATTTTGCTATCTTATTATTTTTTTAATCTTGACATTAAAATAAATCCTTTTGTTTGCCAAGAGAATTTGTTTCAGTAATACAACCTATTGGAAATTTCATTATTAAAGTTAGAAATACTATATAAAGCCTTAGGATACTTGTTCAGATGTGAGGCACTGGTTCTGATAAGTAGGATGTCCTTATGATACTGCTATGTATTTTTGAGAGTGTGAAATATCCACAGTTGGAAATCTTGGGGCAAAAGAAGGATTGAAACTAAGGAAGAATGAGGAGAATACGGACATGTGTTTAAGGAGGAGTCTGGAGGATCTGTAGGAAGTATGTCTAGAGTAGTGAGCCACTCTTTGGCAGTTTTCCTAGAGTGACATATGTAAAGGAGGATGATCTTATT